TTTTGGCAACCCCCGGGATAGCACTCCGGGGGTTTTTTCCGGGGGGGTTTTTTTTGGGGATTTTTTGGGGGGGTTTTTCCCCAAAACCCCTTTTTTTTTTTTCCTTGGGGGTTTTCCCCCCCGGGAGCCTTTTTGGGGGGACCGGGGGTTTTTTATCCCCCGGCCCCAAACAAAAGGGAAAAAAAAAAAAAAAGATTTGCCCCCGGGTGTGGGTTCTTGGGGAAAAAAACCCCTTTCTTTTGGGGGGCGGGGGGCAAAGGTTTTACCCCCAAATTTTTTTAAAAAAATAAAGGGGGGCCCCCCCCCCCCCCCCCCCCCCCAGGACCTCCGGCTGTACACCGTATCCTCGGTAGATGATGCCACTGTTTGCAACGACGAGAAGCTCGCCAGCGGCAGCACCGCGGCGTACGTGAGCTCCGCCGAGCTGTTCCTGCAAGACACAATCTTCCGTGAAAACAAGCCCTGGCCGTCCGTGATCTGGGCCCCGTCCAACATGATAGACTCGGACGAGGCCCCAAACTTGCAAATCAGCGTGAGTAGTTCGGAAGGCGGAGGTGTGTTGTTTTTTATTGGGCGTGCTTCTGAAGATATTGGGCAACCCAGCTTGGCAAAAGCGGGTACGGGCGGCCACTGATTCGAGTTATCCTGATCCTGTAGACAAGACTATAACGTTGACAGCCTGACGAGGGAAATAGGATTGCGAAACCGTGTCGATATGAAATTACATCGCGGAATAGTTTTATCGTGTGACCCCCGATCGCCGTTTCTCCGTGTAGGAGACAAGGATCGTAGGATATTCTGTAATCGACGGCACCAGATGGGGTGGTAAGAAGAGAGAGAGAGGCAGAGACAGAGACAGAGAGAGTCTGCAACAACTTACGTAATTGTGCGATTCGCGCCGCTCGACGTCAGGTGCTAATGGACGCGCTTCCTTCGAGCTGGAGAGGGACCCTCGTCATGTTGGACCAGCTTTACGGATATGTGAGTGACACATCCCGGTATAGAGAGTGTCCCCGCGTAACTCACATACCTCTTCATCCCCGTTGGGGAGGAATACACCAGCTGTTTTTCTATTCTATCTACACGGGTGCGTGTTGTGATGCAATATATCCAGAGTAGTTGTTTTGCGATCTAGCAGAATTCCACTCTCGTTTCTGGACAATTATGCACGATTCGCCACCGAGCGGTTATTCTCTCCCCTCACACGCGTCCTCTGTTACCGAACCCATCCAGGGCTACGGCTGGAACACGGGAAACCCTACCCTGGCAACTCTGAGCGGGGTCAAGCCTGTAAACGAGTTCAGCCCCGCAACGAGAGATAGCGGGCTCGAGAGGATGGAGCGATACCGGCAGCGAGACCCCCGTGTGACCTTCATGAGCGCGTTCCCTGTGAGTTAGTTAAATAACCTCCGCTGAATAGCGCCCTTCCCGGGTGTATTGAACCCTGGTGTCAAGCGTTGCTTGCCGAACAGGTCCGAAAAGGAGCATCATCGGCGCTTCGTTTCCGTTTTGGAGTGATGTGCTTTCTCAAATACGCAAGGTTGACCGGGCCCCCGATGGGACGCTCGCCGACGTGTACAATCGCGCCGGGTGTTGTTTCCCAGACTTGCCGTAACGGGCTGGTCTTCTCTAGGATAATACCCCCTTTCGCGCGGCCGGTTATGCCTTTGTTGTTGAGATGATATGGTTACTGGTGGTTCTCCTGTATGTATGGGCTAGGCCTTACCATCAACTGCTGTTAGCGACAAGGTGCGCATGTTTTAAGGACCCGAGCATGAACATCTTGGGGGCTGTATTTTTGCAGTGGCTTCAAGCAGACCGTCCCTGCGCGAAAGCGGCCACTGCTGGTTGAGATGGACGCTATCCTTGCAATAAATACATGGTAATCAGGAAAAAAATCTGACCACGAGGGAATTGCTTTTTTTTACAAAATGCAAGTCTCTCGTCCGCAACCATGTACGCCGCTGTTTTGTGGAAACACTTGCGCAGATGTACCAGGGGAGACTTTTCGAGAACGAGGAGTCCCGGATCGGAGAGCGCTGCTACGGGTGCAGCATCCATTACCACTACGTTTCGGACGACCCTAACAGCCCGGAAGCGTACGGTGGGGCCAAGATGGTCCACTCCGCCGTCACCGAAATGCTCGCAAACGTACGTGTCGCAAACGCCTGTTCAGGGAGAACCCACTCCCATTTCGAGTAACCAGCTAGGATATGAATGCCCAAGTCTTTTATTCTGTATCAAGCACCATGGTGTGATTGGAGTAGAGCTACGCTATAACATGCGGTATGTAGTTGGGTTGGGTTCAAGATGAACATGCCTTTGCGCTCGTCCTACATGACGTTGATTTCGTCCCGGTCTAAGTGACGGCGGTTGTCGTTTTCGGTTTAATTTCAACTTCAGAGTCACCACGGTGACGGATGGTGGGCAGGTCAGTCTAATTCCAATATTTTCGAGTGCCGTTTGCTCTCCAACTATTTGTTGCCAATTTTTCTCGTCTCCTACTACCTTAGACCACCGGGATGCGCAAACTCCACCGTCCCCGCCCCAGCCACCACGGTCAAAGAAGCGTGCTTCTTTTTGTTCTTTCCTTTGCGCCGGCTTCGCTGATGTGCTTCTTTGGGTTTCTTGACTGCCTGTCTTTCTTGTCGCAGGTTTTGATAACAAGAGCTGTCGGTACCAAGGCTGCTCTGCGCGAGAGAGCAGGCACTCATTCATCGGATGTCACCTCCACGGCGGAAGAGCGACAGGCAGACACAAGAACTTTCGAGGTGAGGATTGACAAGTCACACCAAAGCTTGACACTGCTGCCGTCCCTGCTACTGTTTGTTCGTGTTTGGTGTGTCGCCCAAATGCCGAAGAAACGAGAGAATGTCAGTACAGACACACATAGAACGCATGAGCCGGTCGGAAAACATTTTCGTGAATATTCCACGATTGTTTGCCAAGAATGGTCCGGCTTGTCCTGCGAAGATTCGACCGTACCATACCAGTAATTTTTCGTGCCTTGAGCTTGATCCTGCTTGTGCCCCCAATCACCTCCCCGCGCTCGCTAACCGCTGTACGGAGAGAGCCCCCCACCCCCCTCCCGTGCATCCACCAAAAATGCGCTTCGATGACATCCAGGGGTAAAACTATAATAGAGACGTGAATCTCTTGAACCTGACCAACCGAAATATTCCATGAGATTTTGTGACGGTCTTGCCTTGTTCCCCCGTTTGTCATGTCGTGCTTGACCCCTTCCCTCCTCTCGCCGCAGCTGTGCACGGACTGCCCGGCCACCCTCATCCCGCTGCACGTCAAGCCGTCGCCGCTGCTCAAGTGCGACACCGTGTCCGCCCTCCCGGGGAACGCGACGGTGGGCAAGGCGTGGGACGACGAGCGCTGCCCGGACTGGTGCATGGCCAGGGAGCCAGACCGGCAGGCGTCGAAAGGGACGGGCCTCGTCGACGTCCGGGTCTGCGAGACGACAAGCACAGGAAAGGACCACGGTTGATGCCCCTGCTGGTGTGGAATCGTTTCTAGCGCTTGCGTGGCCACGGGGGACCGGATGGAAGCCTCACCGGTCTCGTACACGCCCGGGTTAGTGAAACGTCCGCGCAGGGGATCAGGCCTCTGCCTTGTGGGAATTCGGAATTTGCCGGAGTGCTGCATGGCCATGGGATTCGGTGGGGAATGAATCGGTCTTGTTGAGGAATCCGGGTTTCTGCTGGATTACGACCGCGGCAGAGTTGATAACGAACAATTTCTAGCAATGTGGAACCAACGGGGCTGGCGCCGTACATGGTCTCGGGAACCGATGGGAGGAAGCTTACGGTTCTCGTTGGAAGTCCGGGCCCGCGGGACACAAACACCGCGGTTGGTCGGCCACAATGTTCTGGAAACCAACCGCTGCCACGAATTTCCTTCTTTCGCGATGGCGAAACTTTCGGGGCTTGGAGCAAGGCCTCCGGCAATCGCTGGAGATAGGGTGCGATATTCTCTTTGACAGATTCTCGGGCTCCAGGGAGGCGTAGAAGCAACACGAGAGGGAATGGGTCTAGCAAGCTTCGAGGCATGCGGGGCAGTCGAGCCAGCAGCGGGATTGACCAGAGTCTTGTGGGCCAATCGCCGTGTGATGCGGTTCGACTGCGTGGCAGGAAACTCGAAGAGGTTGGCAAGGTTCCTGCTGCAGTAGCAGCGTTTGTATCTCAAGAGGAGGTACTCATATCGCGATTTCAGGCGGAAAAGTCGAGTCAATCAAAAGCATCATTCGTTCAATACATTTTTTTTTGCCGGGGCCCGTGATAAATTCGATATTGTTTTCCGCGTTGTCTCCAAGCCACGAAGTGTCGACGAGGATCTTCAGCTTCATCGGCCGTGTTCGAGCAAGTGCCGAACCGACTTCAAAGTAATAAAAACATGTTTACGTAGGGGTCGACCATCATACACATTTTCATCATACACATTTTCTACCATCATACACATTTTCTCTCTCTCTTTGTGTTTTCTTATGTAGGAAGAGAGGGCAGACGTTCGTCGATTGACTGGCCGACAGATTTGTTTAGCGGCACAGGCGGGTTCCGTGACCGCCTTGTTTCCTTCACCATGCTGAGCCTCAGGGTGTTTAGAGTGTGATATGTGGTTGTCGTTGTTGTTTTGTTGCTGTTTTCATGTCCGTCTTTGGGGTGTTGTGGCTCTGGTGGAGCAATATACAGTACACCCGGAGAGAATTAGGCAATATTTTTTTCCCGGGTGTAGGGTGGTTGGGAAGGAACACACTCCGTATAGTATATATGCACCCATTACTAGTACAGTGGGCAGTCAGGGTGCGCAATCAGCTTGTTGAGGGCGGTAGTTGCCCTGAGGTGATGTTGGACGTGGCGTGTGTTATGCTGTACCCCCCCCCCCCCTCCCAGTGCTGGGACGCGCACTCTGGCTCTTGCCACGGATGCTGCTCCTTGAAAAATTATTTTTTTATCTTTGGATGGACGCGCACAGTTGGCTCTTGTCATTGATGCTGCTCTTTGAAAAGTTGTTACTCTTTGGAATGGTGAGAAACGTGAACAAGTCCGTTGTTGGTGACTGTGTATTTTCTCTCCGGTTGAAATTTGCTGTGCACTCTTTTTAACTTGTTTATCGTTTTCACGTGTGCGCTGCATCACTTGTAGTAGTAGATGTGTGTCGATTTTGTATTGTTTGGCTGTGAACCCTTGACGCGAATGGGATAATACGAAAGCATGTACCCGTCGGTTGCCGATTGTAAAAGTATGCTTGGACGTTCTGGATCCGTTTTCGGTTTGGTTGGCGGAGATATACAACGTCCATTGGTCTTTTCGTTCTTTGTTGCTGTTGGGATGTATAGTGGCGCGCTGGCGCATGAGTGAGTGAGTGTGATCCAAAGTGAGTTTGACTACTTTTGTCGTGCCGCAGAGATGATCGCTCGCTGCGTTTGGTTGTGGTTTTCGTTTGTGTCATCGTGAAGACTCGATCCGTGCAGCACAGCAGTGAAATGTCTGTGGGGCCTCTCTGGGTTACGCGTTTCGCAGACAGGAATCCTTCCTTTGGGCGAAGCTGTAGGGGGGGAACGCCATTTCGTCTGGTATTTCTCGTGGAGGCGGAGAAGCCAGCGCAAAGAAAGGACTAGTCACAAATCAACGAAATTGTGTACATCTACGTCTAGGGAATTGGGAAATACCTGATTCGATGCCTTCACGACTAAGGACTAACGACCGCGTTGGTGTGCATGTGCTTTCAGGGGAAGGACTCGAACGCCCTAGAGGAATTGATGCGCTGTAGTCCCCTCCGGTCTTTCAGAACTTGAAGGGAACCTCAAACTTTCTGTTAACTCTTAAACACCGGTGGTGTCGATCGCTTGATGTTTGATGAGGTCTCCTGCCCAGAGCCCGGGCCCTCACCAAGATTTCATTCCCCGTTTCCTCAAGAGAAGTGCCGACGGGGGTTCCGCAGTTGGTAGCGTTCCGTCGCGCCGGGAAATGAGTCAATCTGATTGGCTCCTAGTTGCACTGCAAAGAAGATTTTACGGTATCGTCTATGGGGTCAATCGCACCCTCGCACCCTGCTGGTACGAGATCTTGAGAGTAGAGTATGTTCAGCAGACACGTGACGAACCCGCACTTGCAATTAAAACTAAGCTTAACATCCTCGCGATGGCTACTACTGTGGAAGTCCGGGAATGGACATAAAATTCTTTTTTTGAGATCAAAATGGTGCAGCTTCGAAAATCCTGTTTCGTGTTGGAAACCCCGGAAAACATGTCTTGTTGTCCCCAAATGAAGAGCGGGAGATCGTCCAAAATAGTATTTTCTCGATCGCGGACAATATCGACATCAGACCCTCGTGTGACATGCCCGATCAGCATCACCGCCACGCGCGTACGAGCGCATGCAGGAGCGATCTTAATATTTTCTGATCAGCAAAGTTCAGATCACACAACAGAAAAATAGGGTCGAAACCGCATGAATCCACAGCTAAGTCCATGCGCGGTCCATTTTCCCTCTCAGCGTATGCTATTCCACCATTTGCCTATCCTTGGAACCATTTGCCAATATTGCATCAGCAACTCAACCGGAGTCCTCTTTGGACAGACTTTACTTTGTGGAATTAGTACTTTTTTCTCAAAAGTTTCGGGTAAATGTGAGAACAAAGTTCGGGTTTATCGCCTTTCAAAATGGTGCACTCGATAATGAATCCTTGGGTTATAACGTCACCTCTCCCGGGACGCACGGAACACATGCGTACATACGTACGTGTAGTCAAATGGGCGGCGAGTTACTTTCTGGAATTCGTGAACAACAACGAATAGCACAAAAACTATCGGCTAGTAGTCTGGGGCAGCACCGCCAAATGCACCACAAACTGCTGACGAAAGCAGCAACAACTATCAAGACAATAGGACACACCATGCCACGTATTACAAGCAACACCAACGTGGACATGGTCAAAACCCTATAACTTCTAAACTATAGCTGGTCGAAACTTGGCCTCCAGCTTCCCCGAAAACGAAAAATAATATGTTACCCAGAAAAGAGCAAACGAAAGAAAAACTACCTGCCGCGCTTCTCTACCCTTTGAGAGGTCGTACACATTCGGCATCGAACAACAGCTGATGGGTAGGTTTGGGGCTGCCATTTCTCCCTTCTTTTATTCTTCTTCTCTGCCGGAGGGGTTTCTCTTCGCCGTCTGGCTGGAATCACCAATAGCCCAAGAAATATACAAATGCCCCCCCTGGTTTCCGATTGCCTCTGGTGACGAGTTGGGTTAACCTGTTGGGCTGTCCCTGGTGCACCTAATCGCCTGCGCATTATGCAACAACGACAACCATGGAACGGACCGTAAATATGTTCGGGATACAATGTTTGTAGAGGACAGCATAGTTTGGCGTTGCCAGTTGAAACCATGCCTTAAAAAAGATGCTGAATAGAAACCGTAATTTTTATTGTCAATTTTTTTTAACGAACACATACCGATTTGTGTGTGCCGATGTGATGCAAGACAGACGAAAGGTGGTGGGGGGGTCAGAGTGGGTGTGGCCTGCCAATGCAGCAACAGGAGTACACTTGCATCTGTCTCACAGCACAGAAGGTTGCAGTAAGTCAAACGACACCCCCACGTGGCATTCGTTGCGACAAGATCGACAGGATGGCATCGGGGAAGAGGGCCGATAATAGTACGCCATGCTCAGTGAAGTTTGTTTGATAGCATTTTTAATACAGCGCCACGGGTGAGGGCCAGGGAGGCAACTAACCCATATACCAAGTAAAGATGAATCAATTTGCGCCACATCTCCTCAGGTTCGTCCATCCGTTTCGACCGTTCACAATGGCGAGCGCACACGCAGACACGTTTAAGATCTTTCGTTTGGAGGGGTGCACTTCGAGGCACGTGTTGAACGGGACAGATAAACTCAGCGTATCGATAGGACTGAGCGTGGGATGGGATTGGTGAGAGTATTCGCGGGGCATAATTTCTTGACGCTGGTAGCGGCTCATCAGGTACTCTTCCTTGGTTGCAGGAACAGCGGGTTAAAAACAACAACGACGATAACACCGGCAATCAAAACACCACCAACGCCGAGGAGCACCTCCCGTACTAACGTGAAAGTCCAAGGTTGCTGCTAGACAAGCGCGGGGAGACGGCGATCTGCAGGGCAGGGGGCGTCTTCTGTTGCTGCTGCTGGTGCCGAAGACTGTTCCTGGCGTCCTTGAACCCCATCACCATGTGATTGTTCCCCCTCAAGTAACGCGGCAGCACCGAAGGGTCCGTTCGGTGGGACACCGACAGGATCCCCCCCGACGTCACGAACATCTGGATGTTTTTGTCGTTGAGGTAGCGGGTGGCGGGGGAAGGTAGGGAGACAGAGTGCGTGATAAACACGTGTTCTCTGGCGCGAACAGAACATATTATCAACGTTGCAAAGTAATGCGGGGGGGGTGGAATCTTGAGAACAATACCGGAGGCGGGTCAACAAGAAGGGGGAGGTCGGGATAAGGGAAACGGGACGGCGCGTGCTGGTTCCATAAGAATCGTCGACAGGTATCGCCACTCAATCCGTGTGAACGGAGTCCATGGATCCCCTAGACTTCTTGAGGGAAACGGAAGGGACATTCAAGTCTGATTTGAGTGTTCTCTTCGATGAGGGTGCTCCGCAAGGGTGATCTTCTTCAACGGCATTTCATGACCGCCATCTGAACGAAACTTCTTCCAAGGAGGAATTCCTTCTATAGGCAGGATCTTTGGGGGTGAATGTAAAGTCCTTGAGTTTAACCATTTAGCCACACCTGGTCATGTACGTGTATCGTCACCTTCTCATGTTTTCCGCGCGGCAAAAGATTGACAAGGTTCAAGACATCAACCTCCCGGCGTTAGTATGGGTCTTCGTAATAATAACACCCCTCAAAAACATTAATCCTCGCCTTTGTAGTACTGCTGTTGGACGCTTTTCTACTGAAACAGCCCGTTAGAGCGGGTAAGTTGTACGGCAGTTTACTCATCACAACGCTTTCTGCATTGAAATGTAGACCCCACCTGATTGTGTGCCTGGATGATTTTCTTGTTGTCCGTCAGGAGATCTCGGTGGAAGCTCCTCGTCGCCTCTTGGTACGTGTTCAATCGACCCAGCAGCATCTGTCGTGGAGATGTTGGCGTTGTTGTTCTTGATGTTGTTAGTTTCTTGTTCTGACGCTATGCACCACCGTTCTGGCCACTGACCAGTCCACTCATAAGCAAGGGGCAAACTACAGGGAGGGATACTATCACGAGTACGGCACGACAGCGATGAGGTACTCCGTTCCTATCATGAATGGGCTGAGTTCAAAGACACGAAGCATTAGACGCTGCAATGTTGATCTCGAAGCATGCATCCTGCACCCGAATATTATCTTGTTGCAAAAGTACTACTCCAAACAATTAGAATACCCGCTGGTGGAGAAATTTGCCGTATGGTTCAGTTGCAACAAGTGAGGACACACATCGACCCGCACATGGCGAAGGACTGAAGTTGATCGTGTTTGTCAAGGGCGCTATTTTTGCGTCCTGGCAACAGTAGGCGGTAGAAGCGACCTTTGACGAGTTAGGGCGCCAACCATCTTGCTTGCAAATGGGTAGAACCGCTACGACACGAAACCAAGAACAGGGAATACGACGGTCATACAACACTGCTTGGTCAGCAAATAGGATTACCTCTACAACAGAATAACATTCAATGATCTGGCGTTATTGATCAGTTCAATAGCTTTTCCTTCGAATGATGTCATTCATTATCATTGGCTAGAGGGGGGGGGGGAGGGAGGGAGCAAGACAAGGAAGATGTGAGAACACGAAGAGGACTTACCTTGGCGTCGTTGCCGCACTTCTTGAGCATTACGCCGCACGGCCCGTAGCGTTCCACGTTGTTCAGGTCCAGCACCTCCTCGCGGTGCGATGTGCTTTCATCGGACTGCAGAATATCAATGTTGGGCGTAACATACAATGCGCCATCAGGTACTTATATCGCTGAGTGATACAACACACACAGCGGTTTTGCAACAACGGGTCATTGGTTGTTACCGCAGATGAAGCTGCTTACACTCCAGGGTCACGAATTGAAACCCGGTTGTATTGCATCCGCGTGAATATTTCCAGACTTTGCCACCATTGAGTGCAAAAAATCACTGGCAAACGTGTTGGACTGTTCTGTGTGACCCTCGCAACGAAAACTGTTCCCCAGTGCAAAACTATTTAGCGAGACACAGCAGTGATTGTCATGCGTAGCTGTAGTTTTCGTGCAGACCATTGGGCGGTCCAGATTGATAAGGGGGGCGTGGTATGCATTGACGAATTGACTCGCCGTTTTCTATGAAGCAGTAGGCATCCGTCTCGTCAGAGAGGGTATCAGGGGAAGGTCTAACGCAATGCAGTATAGAAGAACGGCTGCATGTATGTTCCTCACGGTTTGCGAGATATTGAAGAAGCCAGGAGTTTTCACGGGAAAAACACATGTGATGACGTCAAAGAGAGAGACGTTATACCTGCGTAGAAGCGTCCGAAACTCTCCGGTGGCTTAACTCAGCCTGCTCGGCTCTCTGGTATAAAGTGAGGGTGTTTGTTCTTCGCAGCTTGCCCTTTGCTGTTGGTCCAGCGTTGTTGTTGTTGTAGCCAATCCATCGATAGGGGTTTGTGCCCTTGCCGCCGCCTCCCCCCCTACGGTGGCCCTCCTTCCGTCGATTTTTCCACGGAGAGAATATCTTGTCGGCGAAGCTCTGCTTAGGAATGTTGTCCACGCTGAAAGGTGGGTTTGATTCGGCATCGGGACACATAGTGTTTGCGACGGGTTAGTTTAAGGAAGCAGAAAGTAGTGGAACAAAGGGAAACGAACCAAAAAAAGGCATCTACCTTTAGACCGCGGAAACATTTCTATCTGAAAAAAAACGAGTAACCCTTGCGTCCACATCTACACACGATCAAACGTAACTCTTGCACCGACGTGTCGACCGCGATCTACCGCAAAACCACACATGCTAGTGTTTTCCGGTAACTTCCTACCTCCAACAACAGGACGAAAGGTACCAACAGCAATATTGAATTTACACTTCACGTATGTACCCGGACATATCGACGGCGAGCTGGAGCGACATCTCAGCGCTCTCCCAGTCTTGAGACAAGATTGCGGTTTGCCCCACCAGGAGGTGGAACTTTGTCTCCCGCAGCACCTGTGGATCAATTTCATCCGGGGGCGGTGGAACTTGGTCCTCGCAACACTGTTTGGTGCCTTGTGTGGTATTTTATTGTCGTTCTTCGTACTTGTTTCCTTCAAATAATCTGTTTTTGGCAAATATGTTGGTCATGTGTTGCCAACAGACTTTCTGTCGCGAAGCTCGAAAAATAACCAGAAACCTGCAACTTTTCCTTGGTCATGTTTATATCCAATGTCTGTCTCCGCGACTCACTCGAAACCGGCGGCGTATAGTCAATTTAATACTATTTTGTTGTTCGGCTATAAGAACGAAAGACACCTTGTGGAAACAATCAGCCATACAAATGGTAAATGTCATGATGCAATAATAAGAAAGGTGTTTGTAGCAAAACAACACCATGCAAAAGTATCCCCTGTTCCCCCCCCCCTCCCCCTCGGTGTTTGCCATCGGGATTGGGTTTTCGTCGCTTGGCAACGACGTTGTAAAACACCAATTCACTTCGTGAGCTCGGCAACCAGGTTACCGGCTTTTTTTACCTCCGTTTTTTTTTTGCGCGAACCATTAATGGTGGTCGAGTAGATCATGTTGTGCGGGGTCGAGAACCCTCACTCCGCGTAAGGGGGATGATCGCACCACGTTGTGTTAAAATGGTCAAGCACCCTCGAGGCAGTTACACAGTGCTTACAACTGTCTCTGGAAGTGAAAGCACCAGAAAATAAATAAAGTCATACGCAGCTATCATCCGTACGCAAGGAAGTAAGCACAAGAAGCCGAACACCCTTAGCAGGATGCAGCGCACCCTCCATGCGACTCGCCGAATGCCTCACGGCGCTTCGCGCTTGGTGATGTAAAAGCCTGGTCCGGTGAGAACCCGGCGTGCTCCGTCCCGGCTTTGTAGGGATGCGAGGTCAATGGTCTTACGACTACGGCATGCACGATTATGAGTACATGAGTACACCCCCCCCCAACAGGAACGCTGACATGGCAGTATCGCATGTGCGGGATGGGAGAGGAGAGGATGCCGAGAATAGTATGGGAGGCGAAATGGGCAAGAAAAAAGAGGGGTAGACAACCCACGGAATGGGTCAGGGTTGTAGAGGACGTATGGAAGGGGTTCGACATCGACGAAGATGAAACGCTGGAAACGTGAAACGACGTGAAACGCTGGAAACGGAGGGTCTACAGGGGTTCAAGGAGAAGGTATCTGTTGCTTGTGCCGAGAGAGAAAAAGATAATCTAAGGAAAGAAACCAAGGATAACGAGGGTCCAGAAGTGTACGGAATGTTGAAAGAAGGAATATTGTTCAAGGATTACCTACATGGACCAATGGATGCAGAACACAAAACCTTAAGATCAAATTCAGGACCGGGGACATAGGCCTTCGAGAACGTCGACGAAGACATAGGACGGCAGACGACGAAGACGACATGTTCAAATGTAATTGCGACTCCGAGTGCGAAGACGGGGTTCATGTAGTCGCAGAATGTCAGTTGTACGAAAAGGAGAGGGAAGTGTACATGACTGAGCTGGGAAAAATAGAAGGAGGTACAGGGAGATGTTTGAGGCATGGAATAGAGAGGAGAGGGCGGTAGCTGTACTGGGAAATAGGAAGTGGTTTGAAAAGGCGGGAAGTGATATCGTTAGGATAGATAGACTAGGGAAGACATTTTTGAGCCACCTTTGGCAAAGTAGGAAGGAACGATTGGCCATCGGTGATCGGTCCTGTGGGAACAATGCTCCGTCCTCTCGAGGACGCGTGGTCAATGGTCTAACCGCTAAGGCATGCAAAACATAAGAGTACGCCCCCCCACCCCCCCCAACAGGAACAAAGACATGCCTGATCGAGGAGTGTGAGGTGGCCGGACGCGCCAGAGTCGTCCACAGCCTGCGTGACAGCACCGCATGCCAGCTGCGCTTCGGTCGGGTCGCCGCACGCAATAGCCACCTCCGCCGCCATGACCAGAAAGTTGACGGCCAAGTCTTGATCCCCCGCTGCCTGTAGTACGTACGCACGCGCACGCACGCGTGCAGAAAGGTTGTTGGCGTGGTACTCCTCAACACGCACGCGGTGCACGGACGGGACCAATTCGTGTCTGTTGTCTGGAACAGAGTTCAAAGGCTTATCGAGACTAGCCTCTTTTGTACACAACTTTGATGGATGTACGGGTGGGCTAGAGGCGAGGGTTGAACATGCAACCGAAATGTAGTCCACCTTACGCTTGGCCACCCTTACAGTTAGCGACCGCGTTTAAGAAACGTCAATTTGGGGTGGAGGCTCAACTTCTTGCTTCGTCACCACCGTCGAGCATGGGTCATAACATAGACCAAGATCCACGGCTGAGGTGTGCTCCTTAGTCGATTTTCCTCAGTTATCGCCGAAATCTGAGCCTTTGTTTCTTGAAGGTTTGTTCTTTGCCGCAGGCACAAATTTTATACTGCGTACACGGAGTACGTACATCAGCAACATTCCTGAGTTTATTACAGTCCAAATGGGCATCCGAGGTTTCGGGGATACTCATGAAGTTGACGAATCTACTCGGATCGTCGCTCGGGTAAGTTGCTTGCTGTTTCATGAAACGGGCTTCTGTTCGCCGGTAGACTCTATTTTTGCTTCTTAAGAGTGGTACATCTTAGGGTTGTCTGGTTTTCTGTGACTTGTGTGATTGGAACAGTTTCCAGCATGTCCGGCCGGGTTTCCTCAGGTTTGTACGATAGTTTTGGGTTGCTCGCCCCCCCTCCGAAATAGAAACGGAAGAAATCGCTCACCATGGCATGTTTCCCAAGGAAGCGGAAGTGCGGTCTTAGGTCGACAAACGACTTGTGTGTCAGGTACCACAATATGATTTCCTGGACACGGGTATACGCACGTACGTGGAGAATGGGAAGAAAATGTGTTAGCGCCGGGGCGTGGGGCATAGGAAGGAGAGAGGCTCGACACAAGAGCCGTGGGTACGATGGTGAAGGAATCGACACCCGCGCATTGCAAGTGGAGACTAAGTACAAAAAATCATTAAAGGTGTTTCTCTCTACAATCGAAATCGCCACGCTGTCATAGGTACCCATAAAAAAAATCTGCTATTAACTCCGGTGATGAAGTCAACGCCGAGCATGGAGGAAACCCGTAGTATTCCAAGCCCATTGAAGTCTATTGTATGGACGCTTTCCTTGCGGAGCGCAAACTGTTTCCTCAGATGGCCGCCACCAAGACGATAAGTAGATTGCAATTACTCAGAGATCATGCGACAGAAAATTGAACGGAACAAAACGAGGCCGCACCTTGTGCATGTCCTGCCTCTTCGAGTGCAGAATCATGTCGTAGATGACCGTCACCATGTACTTCGCCACGAACCTCACCGACTCCGGGGAACTCCTCTCCAGGAGCCCCACCCTCACCAGCGTGTTGATCTGCGCATCCACGTCGTCTCTCTCCCCGCCCCCGCCCCCTCCCCCCTCGGCCGGAGAGCCGGGCGCCACCATAGCGTCGTCTGACGCACTAGAAGACGTCGGCGATGAGGTCGCCGGGTGATTGTTCTCCCGGGAAGGCGTCAGCATGGAGTGGACGTCCACGAGGAGGTCGAGGGGGACCTATCCACACGGTTCGGGAAGTTGTTGATATTCATTGAAACCAGAAAAAAGGAAAAGGAAAAGGAAGGAGCTGGTCGTGGCTAGGAGGGCCGACCACTGTTTCTGCATCGGGCACGGCGCTAGTATCACAGGACGTTACAGTGTTCTCGCGGTCTCCCCAACTCTCGGAAAGGGCTCGTGTTTATGCGCCTCCCCGTCCTCCGTTAAACAAGCGGTTACGGTCAGCTGGGTTTCTGCTAAAACACGAGATGCACTGCTGGCGGTACTGGTACCTTCTCAGAGGATTCCTTGGAACCGCCTTGTGGTTCTAACGTATTGTAGCACATGCACGAGTTCAGCACCCAACCCTAAATATCGTAGATCTTGGCGAAATACCACGGCAAGGTGGCTGTTTGCCTTGAGGCCACCCACTTAGTTTCCTCCCTCTCTCTTCTCGCCGTCAACACAAAAGGAAAACACTCCCACCTCCTGTCCGATCACCGCGGCGGCTTGCACAAGCTGTTGCGTTCCTCTGGTCAACTGGTCGTACTTAGCGATCACGGGCGCCGAAGTATGATCCTGTTTCGGTAGGAAATCCGGAACGATATGTAGAACAGGGGTGAGAGAGAGGAGAGGCGAATTGCGATCCTACGGGAAGCGGGGGGCGTGGTGTGCGGCAAGGCACATAGAAGTACAGAGCAAGTTTTTTTAGGCAGACATAGCCGATGCAGATTATTGAAAGAGTCGAAGTTGCCGGAGGCGTTTCTGTTGGGTGCGGAAAAAGGAAAAAGGAACGTAAAGGTAGAATGACCTTTTCTTTTCACGACGCACGTAGTCTAGAAAAAGCCGAGACGTAGCATATATTTTTGAGTGAACAACGTGTTCATGACAACCTGAGACAGCTCTCAGCTACGCTCCCCAATATCGTTTCTCCCTGAATCCCCATGACGCTGTCTACATCCTCGCAGCCAGCACACGTATGCGCCCACCTTGATCTTGAGAGAGTTCTCCGAAAGTTCCTTGAGAATGACCACGGCGCCCAAGTTAACCTCCACGAACCCCTCCTTGAAAAGATCCTCCATCATGTGGATCACGTCTCGAGGGTTTCCCTTGGCGGTTACCTGCAGGCAGCCAACACACATTAGCATCGAAAAACGCGACATGTTTGAGTTTGTTGTTCAAGTCTAGTGTTTCCATTCTAGAGGCAGTGTGTGTGGTGGTCCCCCTGTACACCAGTCACTGCTGTTATTCTTGCCCAAGAACCCTAAGGCTTATCGTTCGGTTGTACGGCAAGAGTGTCATGGATATACTGGTGTGAGGTAGTGTACCTCGAGAAACTCCAGGAGCTCTTCACTTGTCCTCTGCACTCCGAAGCTGTCGGACAAAATGAGCATCACCTGGTTGGTGCGTTTCATGACAAAAAGGCAAGAGGTAAGGGGCAAGCATGTCAAACGGGGTTGCGGGCGATGCCGTTCGAAGATGGAGCAGCTACAATAGTGTACCTGGAGCGGTAAGAATCGACATAGTGGTGGGGCAGTCCGCTATCTGGGAGCAAAATCCCTTTGTGCGTGTACCACCAATCTCTGTGTACAACAAAGGAACCTACCCCTTTTATACAAAGCCGATTGGTCAATCGGTTCAAGGAAGCGGTGCATCGGCTCGAGGGGGAGAAATCCTTTACCCCGAGTTCATGACAAGCGTTGCTGCGACCACCACCTGGCCATCACCATCAGAGTCGTCGCCATCGATCGTACCGCCTGCACTCTCCTTTCCGCGGGAGACGCACACACCTGTGTGGCCGTCAGCCTGCCCATGTTCATCTTGAGCGTTCCCGGGACAGTCTTGAGGGCGATCGTGTGCTTAAGGTTCATCTCCGAGAATGGTCGGAAGGCGGCGAAGATGAGCATCCCGGGCAGAGCTTTCCTCAGGAGGTGCATCAGCTCCCAGCTGCCCGTCGCACAAGCCGTGGAGTCAATCAAGCATGTAGCAGCGACGATGACAACGACACGACGACTTTTGTTGCGTTTGCTTGGGTCAGAAGAGGCGAAACCAGCGTGGCTCCTCGTGTGCGTGGCATTCACCGCATGTGCTCTCTCATAGTCCTGTCCGTCTTCACAGACGAAGATGTGCAAAACTTAAAAAAAAAACAAAGTGTACTATGTGGCCAATGGTTGTTCTCTTCAACTCGATGTATCGATACGCATCACTGTTACGATCGCGCCCCATCCAATCGACGGACTCCTGACAAACCAGCACCATAGAACAAACAACCCGAGCCGAAACCGAACGATTTTTCCAGCACAGCCAATGAGGAACAACCACAGACCAGAGCTACCGTAGAGAAATACGATGTAGTACGTACCTGTTGTGATCCAGCCATTGCGTGTTGTCCAAAACGATGGCCGCCCCGCAGCCCCTCCCCTCTTCCACGGAGTTCACTTTCGTGGCATCGCCGACTGCGGCCAACCTGAACGCCGAGCCCGCCCTTGTCATGTTGTTGGCCGGTGTCGGGGTTGCGGACACCGCCGCATCCTGAACTCCGTTGAAAGTATGCGGGAGGAGAAAAGCGGGGCGCGAAAAATGAGCGCTGTCGGGACAAGGGATGTTACGCTCATTGCTGCATGAATCGACTCGTGCCCGTGTATGCTCATGTATGTGCTATTGGCCGATGCTAAGTGGAGGGAAATTTTTCAATCTCGGATTGTACCGAGGTGCAATCAACGCATACCTTGACGGGGACAAGAGGGAACGCAGGCGGGAAAGATATGTTTTTCTGACTGGTGGGCGTATCTCGGAGATGTAATCAGATGTTTCCACGTCGTGGAGAAAAACTGCGAAAAAACAGAAAAGGCAGTGTGGGTTGACGGGGCTGGGAAAGATCCGAGTGGCCTCTTGTTCTGTAATTGTCGTCTGAAGTTGGACGCACAGCTTCATGATTGTAATATCGCAATGTTGAAACAAAAAACTAAGTACATGTGCCGGTAGATTTGTGGGGGGGGTGGATTAGGTGTTGAAATCGACTACAACGGTCCGGCTTGGTGGCGCAGAACATCATCACATCACCTCTTTTCCTCGATTAGAAACAGGCGTATCTAACCCGAAACGTGTGGTCAACCCGTGCAACAGAATAATGGTGCGATACCGCTGATCCGTCTCAATAATTGTCGTCGCAACGAAAGACAGGAATCCCGAGAGCCGATGGTTCACCGGTTCACCCTGGCCTACGTTTCTTCCAACCCTGCTCGTAGTAGGTGTGACCCTTGTTTTGGATTTGTTGTTGTGGACTCTTTGATTGGGCATCCCAACCGTCGCTAGCACTTTCTCCCTTGCCTCATATCTCGTCTAAACCGTAGAGTTCTGACCCAGGGTGTCACACAAGAGTGCTTCTGCGGCGCACGCCTTGATTGTTTACCGCGGGGAGGATTCGGTGGTGCCTTCCCTCAAGCGTGCTCGCGAAAAATCTATTTCTACGGTGGTGCATAGTACTGAGTACGAAATGAGAAGATCCTCGGAACCAAAAGAAGAAATGAGTCCTAACCAACAATTTAATTTGCCGTCAACAGCAGCCTACGGAGGGAACTGATTAAGTCATTTTCTCTGACCCACTCTCGTTGGCAAGGGGTGCCGCTCAGATCAGATTAGTACTTGCGCTCTGGCGCTACTTCCTTCCAAACATACGTTAGAACTTGAACAAAAAGACTACATAAACCATAAAAATCCTACGTACGTTTCTGTCGTCTACAAACGGCGTCTTTTCCACCTCCTGCTTTAGCCCTGATCAGTATTCCGTTCAGTTTTCGAACAGAATCACTATCTGTCCATCTTCAAAAATAACCGATGTACCCAACCATACCTTTCTGTAGCCCGCGGTAGTTGTTGCCGCTCCCATCTTGGAGGCCTCAAGCCGGTGAACAAGAAGCGCTGCGATCATGTCGGCGAGTCGCCGGAGCTTGGAATGTGTGTCCTACATAACACGTAGCGCAACACGTGGCCAGTTAATGAAATCGATCACTTTGCGCTGTGTGGGCTTCTGGTTGTTATCACTGTCCACATCGTGCATCATGTCACCGACGAACTTCGACGAACTTCATGCGTACACGTGTTGGGATGATGACGTTAGAACTGCTGCACTCCTCGCGGTCGACAGTTTGTTTAGCTACTTCTGTCAGACCTATTCCGTCGTTCCTTTCAGAGAAAGCCCCGCGATGAGTTTTCTTCATTCCGCGGGCACTTCAGACCTCGAGTCTACACGGGGAACAAGTCAACACGCCATGCTCTTGTTTTACTAGTGTTGTTTACCTGTGCGCCTGTCGTCACCGCCCCTGCTGCCTGCTCGTTGTATAGGGGCAGGATCATGTTTAGCAGCGGCAGGTGCTTCCCGAGCTCGGGATCCTTCATGAGCGCCATGAACCCGGGGTTCTTGACGAGATGTCCCCTTGCTGCCGTCGGTTCGTAGGGGTTGAGGGCATTCGGCTGCCAAGAGAGCCGCAGCACAGCAGTAAGAGTGGCGGTGACTCAAGTCGATTTTCTCAACGGGAAACGACGGCGAGTGAATTACTGCTAGGACGTGCCGTTCCAGGGGAACGCTGTTGAGCAAAGGTGGCAAATTGAATGACAATCGACCTTCCAAACGAGCACACTACTGTCGAAGGTCGTCCACGTTTGGAAAGAGAAATCAAGTGTTTGGCACATCGCGCGAAGTTCGGTGAGAGTGCGAACTTCGGTGGTAGCGTCTGCACTGAGCGGTCGGTCGCCATATAGTATCTACGCACCCCATAATCTTGTCCAAGGCCACTCATCATGGTCACTGATGGAGTGCCTGCCTTGCACTCTCCCCAGAAAGGTGACTCACAGCGTCGATGCTACGTCTTCGACCGGGCACATTCGATACCCAGCTGCTGCGCCGCTTGCGAGAAGGGGGCGCCGCCTGCGGCGCAGCAAGGGCCGGTGCGCCGCTGCCGCCATCCGTCCCCGAATTTGCGTCGTCCACCGCGCCTCCTTCCGTTGCTCCTCCTCCTCCTCCTCCTAGCATGCCCAACCCGACCGCGACGATGCTGCTGCGTCTTCGGGTGGACGCTCGTCGAAATCTATTTTGGCAAACACACCACGGTGGTAGGTGACGATGTTTGAGTTTCTACAAAGCACCCAGAGATAAATACGAACAAACAAACAATCAACACCTTTTACGCCATACAAATATAGACAGGCAAGGCTATACATACATATGTCCAACCAAACATTTTAAGTATAAAATTGTCTACAACAAACAGCTGTCTCGCCTTGAAGCCACCTCTCCGCCCTTTTCGACGATTCCCGCAGCCCCGGCAGCCGCCGCCGACGCCGCGGCCGCCATCGCAGCAGTTGAACTCGCCGCCGCTGCAACCGCCGCCGCCGCCGCCGCTGGCGACGGCCCGGTAGCGGGAGGAGGTCGATTGGCCGCGGCGTACCAGTTGAGCCGATCTTGGTCGAGCTCCAAAAGCTGGCAGAGGATCTGATTGGTGGGTGGAGAGAGACGAAGAAAGTGGGGGGGGGGAGATATGTTCATGATACATAAATGCTGTTGTCGTCAAGCGAGTAGCTTCGCATCCGTGCAATGCCTAGACGGAGGGATTTCGACGGAGTGGACGGGGCGGCGGCGGAGCGAAGGTAATCACCGCGGGTGTCATTACACGATGCTCAACTATTACTGCTTGTCCCGTTGTCGTTGTTGCCGTAGTCGTCTCACCTGTCGAAATGGGAAGAGACTGGTATGCCTCTCGTGCATGTCTCCCGAGGAACAGAACGTGTGAAGCTCGTGCCCATCCATCATACCGACTGCCTGTTCGTCGAGACACGATAGATTCATCCCTGTTGAGCTTCAATTTCATACAGTCATCGAATGTCATGTCTGGTGCACACCCCTATTTCGCCAAATGCACTTTAGACGAACTACGTTACAAACAGCACAATATGCCCCTATGGTCAACAAAAGGCATTCTTGTTGGCCTTGGTCAGGAGTTACCCGCCGGTGAAGTGTTTGGAAGGCTTTTCGTGAGATAAGGTCCCCTTTCTAAACCTCGCTTGCGACAGATCCTCGTTAAAGGTTCTTTGTGCAAGGGGTGTGTGCGTGGTCGCGGCAGCCACACCAAACGAAACGTGTATATCGAGGCGTCCCGGAACGGAATGATTTCACGTAACCTACACACAAATTACAAGAAAAACACAGCAACAAAAGTCTGCGAGCCATAGTCTAGCCAGCCGACCTTCGAGAGAAGGATGCTTTTCCCGCTGCCGCGCTCTCCCTCGATGAGGACCGTTTTTGTGCCCACTGGGTTGTGGGCATTCGACATCATCTCCTGTTTTGCTCAAGGCACACATGAAAGCAAGCCGCCACAATATTGAAGACGCGAGGGACGCATCGTGCGTGACATGAGGTGTGCGCATGTATGTAGCGAGAGATAGGGTATAGGGTTACTTGTTGGTCTGTCGCCTGTCTTCATTCTCGAAAGCGCTCCATCTTCGGGGCTTCCGCTCAAGGATGTACACAGGTAAAAACACGACAGAAAAGACGACGCAAACCACAACACCTCACATGTGCAATGCTTGTAAATACCACGCAAGACATGTGGCGGCAAAGGTGCCATGATTGGCCCAGAGTTCTGCAAGGCATCAGGTGTCTAGACGCTTGTCTCCGTGGTTCAACAGCCACCTGGTCTATTCGAAAGCATGGTTTTCTGCCTCTTGTGTTGGGTTCGTCCCGTCTGAATGAATCCATTCGGGGAACCAATTACCTCTGCGAAGAGCCACAAAAAGGTGATGGGTACAGACGAATACCTACCTTCCAAACACGCACCTGCAGCAGGCACCCAAATGATAGGACCGTTTTGGTTCTGCCACGATTCTTCCCCTTAACCACCAGACACCAGGAGACTCATGATCGTTGCCCAGGAATGCACCGCTGTTGTCTGTCAACGTTTCAGCACCTTTTAGTTAAGCGGCGAGCTTACGGTATTTCCTACCTGTAGATGATCGGCGTGGTCCCCTCTGTCAAGAAAGTTGTTTTTCGCGCTTTTCGTGCGGAGAACCGCCCCAGCATTGAGCGGCTCGAACACGGCGATCGGCTCGTCCTTGCCTTTCACCTGAGGCGTAAACGTGTCATCTTCATTGGTGTGACCGCGAAAATTATTTTGTGGTGACGAATTGTTGGTGTTTTCAGCGCAAGAAAATACTTCACGTGAAATACGCCGGACGCAACAACATCTACATCTTGAAACGAACAAAGCCGTGAGTGAGTCTGCTCCTGTCGATACTCTCTTTTTTTTTCTTCCCACACGCGGCAGGCTGTCGTTGTCGTCGACAGACACAAAACAAGAGAAACATCGAGTCGACAACAGCAGTTTATGGGTAGTAGGTGGTGATAACTGTTGAAGGCTTCGATGCTATCCTTAGCACCACCACACACTACAGTAGCCATCGATATTTGTGCGAAGAGGACCCATAACTACCAGCAGTTCGTTTTGGTCAGGGGGATGTTGTGCACATCGAAAAACAATGGAGACGGAGAGAAACGAAACTCCCACGCGAATGTCGCCTTGGTTCTCGTGTCCTTTGAAAGCCAGAGGCCCCACTTCTTACGCACTACTGTGCACATATAACCTCAAGAACGAACACTCGTGCTCTACTGCGAACTAGACAGAATAATCAACCATACAACCACCCTATGCATGCGAGCAGACACTTGCAATACTGCTGTTGTTGCTGGCGTTAACGTTGTTTTTTGGCGCTCTTGCTGCTCTCACTGCCGCTGCATCAATCTCTTCGTACCAATTCGAAACACATATACACGCCAACAACAAACCTTCATTCGCATGGCTTCCTTGAAAGAAAATGCGTCCTCCGCCTCTTTGGCCGTGCTCGCATCGCACAGAACCGTGTTCCTCGGCGCTTTCCCCATGAGCCTCGCAGACATGTTCACCGCGTCCCCCACCGCAGCGTACTCTTGTCGAGAGGCAGCCCCTTGTTTGATACAAGGTGGGGAGATGGGCATGTGCTGAATGGTTTGGGAGGATTCAGGGCGGGGGAACATACATGTTGGTTGCCGTTTTCGTCGGGAGCGGGGTGGTGCTCTCTTTACACCTCTATTTTTTCCAAACAAGTCAAGTTTAATGTGGGAGAGGCCGGGAGGGGCGGGTGCTTCGTTGCTTTCCAAGGCCCAAATGGGTCATGGAGTGCTACAGTAGTGCGCAAAAGAGGTACGTCCTCCTCCACTCCTCTCCCAGGTTTTGGTACTTTTCTCGACATTGATTTATTTGGCGTTTCTGAAACGAAAAGAGGCTACCCCGATCACCATTGCTATCTATTGATACCGCCGCTGGTGAAGTGCAACTTTACCATCCCCCACTCGGGGTTTCCCTTGAAGTTGACATCGGGATTATCTCCCCTGAAAATATGACTACGCGATCGAACGGCAAAATGTTTTCAGCAAGAGTTTCGTGAAGTGTCCCCCAACGTCGCTAAGATAGGGACCACCGGTACCTGTCCCGCTATGGAAAAATCGGCCCAGGAAAATAGGTTATCCATCCATGAGGGGGGCTTTGGTGTGTCTTGTGTCATCTTCGTCTCTGACTAGTTCCATGGCAGATTGCGAAGAAGAATTCGGAATACCGAAGCTGGCCAGAGAACGGTTTCACTACCTGCAACATCACTCGACAGGGATGTCTTGCATAATTGTCAACTCACCAATGACTCCGGCGAATGCAGATCCGGTTGTGACCCCTATTTTCGCTTGCACTCCCTGACGTAGGAGCCTCAGCCCGAGATTGATACCGCGAGCAGCGTTATCCTATATGGAGGGGGTAAACGACAGGCGGACAACGAATACCGTTTTCAAAGGCATACAAAATATATTTTGAGACACTTTTTTGGTTATTGAAAGTATTCGCTACACGACCTTTATCATTGCGTTGTGTTCATGCTACTTCGACGTGCATACGTATGCCGGTCGTAACACTAACAACAAGAGAAGTTCTCGTGACAATCAAAGTTCGACTTCGCATATCAACGAGGGAACGGGTTGCCGAACCTCTCTGGTGGCAAAAACTGGCTGCGTTTACCGCAGATCTCCTTTGTGTCAGACTGAACGGTATGGCCATGAATGTACCGACACTTCGGGCGCGTCGAAATACGGTTGTCGAGGAATTGTTTTTCGAATTTTTTCGATTTTTTTTAAACTTTGTGCGGCAATGAAACGACCCCAGCCCGAAGTACGAATATTTTCTTGTGGCACGGAAATTCTTTCGTAATCTCGGGTTCGAGGCGAATCCAGATTCCGGAACGAGATCGGGAAGAGTCATATATCCCATGAAGGATGTTGGAAAATGATTCTACCTAGTTTAGTCCCCTTTTTGTCTACGAAACACGCCGGAGCAGAGGAGAAGAAACATATTTGAGACCATGCTACCCTCCCTACAAAAATACGTATTATATTCATGAACTTACGGATAATTCAAACACTTTGGGGCTGGGAACATCTTAGCGCCCAGCCCAAAGGGTTACTTCATGGCGAGGCCCTCCTGCCGGCGCAGGAGGCCTCACCCGACCAAGTCCAATACATACATTGAATGATCTGGGTAAGGGATAAGAACACAACAGTAGGAAACTTTTCTGATACGAAAATCGTTTGGTATCTTCGCCTGAAGACGATGTTACGCAGACAGAACCTTTTTATTCATGTGACAACAGACATCAGACAACAGACAACCGACAGACAAGAGGAAGAGCAGGCTTTCTACACAAAACAATCCTGACCAAGGTCTTCGCGTAATCCTGATGGGGGAACAGTGACGCGATCTACCTCGTGAAATATCGGAGGGAGACCGAACACGACGATAGCAACAGTCCCCTTGTCGTCCACGATGAACTGGCGAAGCGTGGCGTCATAGTGGCACACCGTCTCCTGGATCTTCCGCACGGTCCTGTTCACCTGTCACGCCGCAACCGCGCCGTTGATGCGGTCGGTGTCTATCGCTCAACCATGCATCCGTCGATGGCAACGCGTTAACACACCACCCCGTGATACGCGTACAGGACAAAAATCGCAAAACGCCTGTGGCGCAACGAGAAATTAATCAAGATCGTGAACGACTCACTCCACCAAAGTTGGGTCGGAGTTCGATCGTGCTACAACTGCACTTTATGCTGCATGCAGTCTTCAATCAGAAACACAGCACGACAGACGCTCTATAATGAACATCTACAGAGGGATACGTGAACTGGTTTCATCCGGTTCAACGGAATTAATTCCGGTTAAGCGGTTTTGAGCAAGCTTTGAAGCAGTAATTCGATGTAAACGGTTATCCGGCTAAACCTGCAAGATACTGGTTGTCTGAATCCGGTTAAACCGAGAAACGGTTCTCCGGTTAACCCGGATCAACGCGGCGTCAACTTTAAAAGGTCTTTCAGCTAGCTGGAAGCTCGTGCGAGATCTCCGGCGATGTATGTAGAGCAGTCTAGGAAAATCGTATCGAAGTTGGTGGTGGTCTGTTGCCCAACTACCTCGACCCTGCTCTACATGATGTTCACTGAACGTTTGCTACTCCGGAACAAACCGCAATCTACCTGATCAAGGGTGTCCTTGTCGTCGGACACGGCGATCTCGAGGTCAAGCAGCTCCATGAAAACGACCGTGATTTTGCGGATGCCCCCCGCGGTCTCTACCACGCCGTCCTTGAGGTTGATCTTCACGGGCTGAGGAATGTACATCTGGCATCAACACCGATTATGTCGCAAATAGATGCGGGATTACGTAAAGGCACAGGAGATGTCTCAGATACAGTACACACCATAGACAATATGCGTGCTGTACGTTCTGTTCGACAACGTACATGTCGCAGGCAGATACAATGGCGATGGCCAGGGATGATAAGAAGCCGAGGTGAAAAATGCAGGTGACAGCGCAGGTAGATGCCTTTCACGGAAAAAATGGCGTAGATAGATAAAGGTTGATAGATGGAATTCCAAAGGGCGCCAGGCGATGTTTTCCCACAGACGATGTTGTACAGAAGAGTACAAGACACAAGTCGCACTGGCATACTGTTTTCTACGACAAAAGACCTTTTTTTATTTTTTGTAATGAGGAATATGCAACTTATACACATGGTGTTTGCCGTAGCATAAACGTAACTGCTACATGATGTTCGGCCCTTTCCGACCACTTTCGCTCTCCAAAATTCGTTCATTCCGAATGATACGTAGCGGCAACGGCGCCAGCACCCACCGTGGTGGCACCAGAAGTTTCAACCAGAGCAACCTACAGGTGATCAACAAACAGGCTCATAAACATTTCCTCTGTCTGCCTGGAAGTGCAAGAGAACGTCCCTAGAAGATGTTTCGAAAGTCAGTCGTGAATGGTGAATGTTGTCCTCCCTCCCAAAGACGTCTGCCCGTCCTTTGAGGAAACACCACCCGCCCCTTTCCGCGGCCCTCCCCCTCTCCCTCTCTGTAGCCTTCGTCGGCTCTTCGGTCGTCAAACTCATCGTATTTTCGCCCGGACGTGCGACGACGGTCTGTAGTCCGACGACTACTACCACCTGCTGTCGACAGAAAGTAGTAGGTTAACTGCAAGGCGAAAATATTGTGTGCCTAGCCCAACCCTCCTCTCCTACCTCATTCATTTCCCTCTCTCACCTTAAGCACGTTGCACATGATGTCGTTTGTCAACAACGCGTGAGGCAGAACGCGGGGGAGGTTTTCTGGGGGGCACTCCAAGAACACCAAGCGCTCGTTGCCCGATTCCAGCCGAACCGTCGCCAGTTCCGCCGCACACCCGTTTGGCTGAGAGCAATAGTGTTATCGTGTACATTGTGAAAGAAGAGTACGGGTGAGCATGCATGCAAGAGGCAACTACTGTGCCCGTTGGCATTTTCGTGTTCAGTGGAGTACGTTCCTTCCGTAAAACGTGGACACCACTACGTAGTTTAGTACCGTAGTGTTTATGTGCTCATCTTTCTGGACGAGAGGAGTCCTACCTTCGTGTAGTAGATGGCTCTCTCTATCATGAGTCATCATGATATCTGCAATGTTGAAGTGTAATGCCACCAACTAGTCTCTCTTATAATAATAGTGCCGCCGATACAGTTCTTCCTCCCACGATTTAGCTGAAATATCTTCTTGGCCGTAACCATACCATGATGACGAGTATTGCCACCATCACCGCTGGGATTCTGGAATTCGACCCTCCACAAAAGAGTAAAAAAAGCAGACAGACAAGAAGCAGAGAGGAGCTTGACAAATCAAGCAACAAGAGACGCACAGAAACACAGACAAAGAAAGAGGAGTATGGCTGAGAGAACGATAGAGAGCGCTACAAGCAGACGGCAAGCTGGAGAGTGGAGGAGAAGGCGGGAGGGAACGTGAGGGGAGTGAAGGGGCGGTGGTACACACAGAGTGACGGAGAGGTTGTCATATGCATATCCTATGAAGCAAGTCACCCACCCCCTTGTAACGGCGAATCCAGTCTCCCACAGCTCCCGAGAACACGATTTCCATGTTGCTCGCGTCCTTCTCTGCGCGATTCATCTCCTCACACGCCTCCCCCGTTATGAAAAACTCCCACCTGTTGATTCACGCGAGCGATTATTATTGACGAGAGCGACGTACAACATCTGTTTAAAATGGGGTCGATTCGATACGGTTGCGGCCTCTTTGCCACCTTCACAATAACAACATACCACACGTTTCTCACTGTTTTTAATTCTGAGGTAACCGGATTTGTCTTCAGGTCGAGAAGGGCGTCCAGTCCACATACCACAGACCTACTCTCCCCTTTATGAGTGGCACAATAGAAGCTGCCCTTACAATTACATGGCAGGGCATGTTAGGTGGTCGCCTACAACCATTCCTAGGTCAGTTTCTCGAGCTATATTTTTCCAGAGCAGGTTACTACCGAGCGCTGCCCATTTGCAATGCTCTCGTCGTGCAGCGCCGCTGTTTCTGACACAAAAAACGTTTCCTGCTGTGGAGATGTTGAGTTCGGATTGCGATCCAGGAGGAGGATAGGATACGTTGTGCGACATACACGTATCCAGGGTGTACCGGTGGCTGATAAGGCGTTGCTATAAGGATTACAAAAGGAAGAACTCCGTGTGTCGTCAGTAGCACAGCAACCTTTCAACAATGCAACGAACAGCTGAAATTGTACGTGTGGAGTGTAGGGCGTTGCGCACCTGTTCTCGATGCCCCCGACATGTCCCGCCAAAACTTTGCTGGCTCCGAGACCAATGTGCAGCCCCAGGCTCGACATCACAGGGTCCGCAGAGTTGAGCAACTGCGAAGACGGGTTGGGGTATTACCCGATGTTTTCCCTTGCTCATACTGGTTATGAAGTATTTAGTTTGGCCGAAGCGAATTTCCGCATCTTTCGTGACGACGATTCGGTTGCGGCTGAAGTGTGGGAGTTGAGTTGGATCTTCACGTGGAGAGGAATGCCGTTGGGCGGGGTCGGGGCCAACAGATACCCGGGAGAGAGACCAGGAATAACTGATTCTTCTCGCCCACGCGCTACGTGGGCGCGAAGGTAATGTGCATGCAGAAATAAGGCTTCATGCTCCGACTTCTCCCTCCGCTTTCAAATAGTGCCTTCCCCGGCTTCCCCGGCGTCCTTGACCCGGGAGGGCAGGGGAGACGTTTAAGCACTGCTCCGTGTTCCGTTTGCACTGCCCTTCAGAAAACATGGCAAATCCTGAACAAAGCCGCACAAGTGCAAGTTTTCGTTTCTAAAAACGAACCAAGACACCGACACATCCTTCTAGAACATCCAACGAAAGGAAGCCAAACAGCAAACTCACCTTTTGCGTGCAGGTTTGCATGGCATCTCGAGCGCACAGCACGGCCCTGAGGCATGGGATTTCCAGCTGGTCCCCCCCAGGTTTCCCGGTGCTAATCCTTTCGCTGGGCTAAATGATGTCATGCGCATGCATCACGTCATGATTTCGGCAGAGCGGCAGAAAAACAAGCCGACCGACGATAAGACCAAAGGTTATTCATGTGGTCTTTGACTCGCACACGTCGACATCTATGGCCTATTGGATTGAGGCAGCTACGAAACCCGGCAACACTTGTTGCAGTGTGAATGATCTCGTTCCCTTCTGATCCCACAGGTGTGCCACTGGTGCTCCCGAGTTGTAGTGGAGGGAGAGCACGTTCTACAATACGCAATACGACACTTGTTTGCCTCTGGTATTACGATCGGTTTATCATCTCTTTTTCGCGTTACGATCTCGCTGCAGACTTTCTCTCTACAGTCGTGAACCGGTCACAATTGACAGCAAAGCTACCAGGTTTCGTGGTTGAGCAAAACGGGCGTTTTGAGGGCCGGGAGAGAAGGACGGGGTCGAGCACACACATCATAATCGCGTACGACAATGTCTATCTTTCCAGAGCTACATCACGTTGAACACTGCGTTTGATGCGGTCCGTTGTCATTGAATATCAAGGCCTCCTCCTACCACGAGACGTGTTTCAGTACCCGTCACTTCTTACATCGTCGCTCTCGTGATGTCGTGTCACGATTTTTGTTTTGACCGAGCCCTGACCCTGACCCTAACCCTAGACACACTTTCATCAACCCTAACTCAAATCTTCACTTGATACATATCGTGTCATGATTTTTTTGTCTTGACCGAGCCCTGACCCTGATCCCAACCCTAGACACGCTTTCGCCAACCCTAAACTCAAGTCTTCACCCGAACACCCACAAGCCCTACAATTGCCATGACCGTCACTCTCACCGCTACCCGATCACCAACCCGCCGAGCGAACCCCCAACCTCTACCAGAAAAATCCAGGAATGAGTCCGTCTTAAGCCTGATGCTAACACTGTCCTTCCCCCTTCGCAAACCTCGATGCCAAGTTCCCTGGTGGGAGACCAGCACACGATTATGGCGTCGCCGGCAAACTTGAGAATATCGCCCCCGTGCATTTCCACTGTATCTGTCAAGAGGCCTGAACGTAAGAAGAAGACGAAGAACAGCAGTGACAAAGACACCGACAACAAGCGGGGGCGAGTGAGATCTCTCTCCGTCCCGATTCCTCGGCAAAGACCGGGGTATCAAACGCAGAAAACGCCGCAGAAACAGTTTTTGGGGAAACAGGGAAGTGCGCATACAGTTGGCCTGCTTGAGATCATGCGTGACTAATCAGCCTGTCTATATTCGTCACCATAGTGTCGGCCATCGACGTTTGCATGCTTCTCCAATCAACACAAACTCAAACTGATCTTCTCTCCATCAATGATATGCATACGCTGTTCGTCTCGAGCAAGACGTGTTTCCGGCGAAACAAACGCACAACCGATTTTCACCGGCGATGACGTAGAGAGACATATAGTCTACTCAAGCCCGCCTTGGGCGGAATCGATCGAGCTAAGAACAAGCCAAATCATAGCGCTTACAGTAATTCTGAACGTATCACTAACACGGAATACTTCCTCACTTTTTTTATCTACATCAGCGCACGCTACTCTTATGCAAGTGCTTGTCGCTCAACATACCGAGAATGTAGTTGAGGTAGTCGGTAAGCCGCTCTGCTGCCGAACCCTTCTTAAGGTTGGTCCTCGACTCCCCCATCCGCCCACCCAGCGCCATACTCATGCCGAAAAGTGCCCGGAGTCGAGTGGGTCTCGCATCGCGCCTTAAGAGAACGTGTCCAGAAATGCGCGAACAGAAAATAAATAGTCTGTGAACGTTTAGCTTGGGGGAATGAAATTCTCAGCGCTCGAGAGCTACTCTGATAGGTATTGCATCCAACAGTTTTCGTCCAAACGGGGGTCAAAGTACTGATGTGCATCCGTCATTGGTGCCAGAACACCGCCGCGTTGTTAACATACTGACCCCGACTCGCCCAGACCAGAAACCACCGAGCTGTGACGAGAGGACAACGTCTTGTTCATTCGGTCGGCGCTCATGCTCTGGCTCGGCATCATCGAACCTTTGCGGCGCAATGCCACCCCCTCGGATTCAACGGCGCTCTAAAAGGGCACCCACAGACAGCATCGGAGAGGGGGAGCTTTGAGGGTGGAGGGGCGAGTGAAGGACACGTGTTAGGGATGAAAGACTACAACGGTGGCGGCGGAGGCAGATACTACGTTACAGGCGTGGACGGCAGCGGCGGAGGTGCTGTCTACGGCGGCGGCGGCTGTGGCGGCCACTCTCCTGGTCTATCAACCTGCACTCTACCAAACCTACCTGGTGTACCAACCATAGAACGTCAACCTCCTTTCCCATGCCGTACGATGTTCAAACGATGAGTAATTCATATGCACACGTGTCGACACGTACCGTGCTGCCGCCGTCAGCCTCCTCCTTCTCCAGGCGATCTGCGATCTTGGAAAAACCTGACACGTCGAAAAGTCCCACGGCGGCGTCGAGCAACATGTGCATCGGCCCAGTCGGCATCTGAGGAGCGTCCGTGTTAAACATCTGAAGAACCTGTAGTACCACGGAATGAAAATGAGCAGGAAAGGGGTGTGAGGTGCGGTACGGGAAGCATAACAAGATTGGCGGCAGAGAAGGTGGGCAGGGAGGAGAGTTGACCGGATCATGGCATGGCCAACATGTGATTAGAACGCAAGGGCAGAGAGAGGAACGACTGGATGAGTGGAGATACGACGCACAAGGAATTGGGGAATTGAACCGGACGTCGGAAGAAATGCCATTGATGCATTTCAACCTAGTTGGCCCAACCCGTCCGCCCCCGTGGTGTTTCGCCGCCCTAGTTATCGATTTTATTCAACTCTTGAATCTTCTCCGTTTTTGTTGTTTACCCATCGTTTTGAAAATAAATGCGTGCATACTGACTCTTAAATGGCCGCCTACTTCCACAACGCCACTCACAAGCCTCGGCACGAACGGCAACAAGAGGGCCAGCTGGGGTGACTGCGTGCTGCTGCTGTTGTTGCCCCTGTTGTTGGCCGGTCCCCCCCAGCCCGCTGCCGTCGAGGTCGCGCTAACGCTCCGTTGACCACCGACAGCGAGGGAGGCAGAAGAAGAGGATGCCGTCGGCAGGGGGAGCGGAAAGAAGGAGTCCGATTCATGCAGAGAGTTTGAGCTGTGGTGGTCGTCGCTGTCGGTGTCTGCGGTAGTAGGAGGGCCGTGTCGCGGGACGGTGCGGATCGTTTTTAGCCGGGGAGAAAGTACGGGAAAGAAAGGGTTGCCTGCATAACACACATGTGATGTTTTTCTGGTTGGGCTGGTGTGTGTGGTTCGGTGAGTTTCGTTGTTTGAATACTAGACTTGTCGTGCTTGGAGTTACTAAACACCTGCCAGAGACAGTAAGTGCGGCTTTAAGTTCCTCATCGTTGTAGCTCGAGCATTCTCAATCAGGTGCTTCTGGTAGGGGCAGCAGACCAGGCCGTTCACTGATGTTCCGCCTGTCCAGGCGATTGATCACGAATGCGTATCCGATCGCCTAAGCTTTATTTACTACGGTTCACTGTGTATATCAATCTGCGGTGGTAAGTCTTACGTCGCAACCGAGATGAACGACCATGCAGAAACATCCCACTGACAATATGTACGAACGCTCGACACCGGCTTTCAAGCAACCCTTGGCAACATTCGTGCGGGGCTAAACAACGACCGGCGAGAAGTCTAATCGTGCCAACAGGACGGTACACGCAAGTAGAGGGACCATAAGCACAATCACAGCGTAAACTGGGAGGCGTACCTGTAGTGCAAGTGCTTTCCATATCGGCTGCCGTCAATGGTACGTTGACAATGCCTCCGCTGCCCGGTGCAAAGCCTCGAGGGTCGTCCCCATTCACTCCTTCTTGACCCTTTGCATCCTGCTGGTCGTGGCCCTTCTCGGGGTTGCTACCGCTAGGTTTTACTGCTGATTGCGCGACAGCCGCCGTGCCGGGTTCATCGCAGTCAGAGAGCACGGTCTCGAGAAAGGAATCGAAGTCGTCGAAGTCATCGATGCCTGTGCCCTCGGCGACGGCAGCGGTGGTCTCCTTGCCCCGGTCTTCCGCTGCCGGTTTCTCTGATGCTTCCATCGATTAGATAGGTAGTCGATGACCTTATGGTGTGCAGGCTGGATTGGCGTACGAGCATGGTTGATTGTTGTGGATAAGAGGGGCTGCTGCTGTGCTTGTGTCAGGTCGAAATGTAATGCGGATTTACGCCATTATTCTTGGGGTCGAAAAGCTTAAAAGCAACGAATACTTGTAGATTATTTGGGAATATGAATATTTCGACCAAAATGTTGCGAAAATAGCATGCCGTAGGTTGTGGAAGATCCCGCGCTCCCTTGGCCGATTGTTTAAGCTCGATCACTCGACGACAAATAAATACGGTGCCGAAATTCTTCTTGAAATAAATTCCCTCGACAAGATTTTTCCAATCTCACCATTTCGCAGAGTACTGTAATCTAACTTTGAAAATCGGTCCAGGGTGTGGTATCGACTATGCCCCCTACGGTATTTGGCCAAAAAACGAGCGTCGAAGACAGAGTAAGACATTTTTTTGGTCGCGAACAATTGGCAAACAAATACTAGCATACTGCATGCTTGCCTACAAAATGTAGCATACAACAAGGAGAGAAAAATATATGCTTTGTATTGAGAAAAGGCGTAAAATGTGATGCTGTTGACAGCAGCAGTCCTGCAGGTCCTGGTACAGGCTATGGTCGGGTTCTTGGATGCAAAAGTATGGGGTTGGGCGAAGCCACCTGTCCGCGGGGGTTGCTCGCCAAGCCATGACCTCTGTACTCCCCCCTTCATCAGCTCTTTCTCGCATGCTGGCAGGATCTAAGAGACTGATCGAGATTTGAGATGTGCATGTTAAGTCCACGTCACACATGTATGCAATGTGTAAACACTACTCGAACTCGAGCTCGAGCGAAGACTATACAGGGGGCAGAGGTTGGGAGTTGGTCAGTGCTGCCAAACCTACAATCTGATGGACCCCCACAATAATAATGAAGGCACCGTCAGCCTTGAGAAGGTCGAAGTAATCGACGGGATCGAGTGGGTGAACTCATGCGCAAAAAAGTCGTTTATCGCGAAAAGCATGTATGTACTGCTGTAGACAGCTGTATTATGTACGCAAGAAGTTGTGCTTGTATTACGTATTATGTGTAGTCAGCCTCCTAAATAATGTGTTGCTGACATCCGCTACAAAACTTTGCTGCAGATTCAAAGATAAACAGCATGGGTCACGGCTGGGCCAATTAGACTATCAGAACCTCACCTCACCTCCCCGGCCTACTGCCCCGAAGGTGTGGTGGGTACGCCCGGGGTGTAAACGAGATCTGCAGCATCAGGCACGAGAGAGAGAAAGGAGTGAGAGGCGCGCTCTCTTCTTCTCTCTTCTCTCACCCCTCTCCCTCTCTCAATCTGAAACCGAAACCGAGCAACCGACCACTTGTCAATGTCGAACCGACAACAATTTCGCCGCACCAGAAAGAGGTAAGCAGAGAAACCAGGTACGGCGCGAGAGACCTGTCCCCTCTCTCTCCCACTGTATACGCGGTGCGTACCCGTCGGATGTTCGGAAGAACCTCCTACCCTGGAGAGAAGGGGGAGAGGGGGGAAATTCGAGACGAGCGCGGGGACACCCGACGACGAGCATCGACCACCCAGCCTGTTGCTCTCCCAGGGTTTTTGAAAAGGTGCGTTGAGGAGATGAAGCGAGGGATGAGCGACCTGCTCTAACTGTGTTTCATCGGCCTATTGCGCTAGCAAACGGTACCGCCCCGTGTATTCCACCGATCCAACGCAGCGATCGGTTGTTGTAGAGATACTACATAGCTTGGCTATGGCCACTGATAGACTATTGTGCGGTAGATATTTGGCGGACGGCCAGTCTCCGACCTGTGTTATGTGGTGTCACCACCTACATTGCCTGTAGACTAATGCTGCGGCCTTGGTGCAACCGGCCCGTTCAATCGACGCAAAACAGGGTTACTGTACCATGTAACATTCAAATTAGAATGCACTGTGCTCTCTCTCGAACCAACGTCTCAATCTAGTCTATCGTTCTTAAAACAATCATTTCTAACCCACTTTGTCCGTTGCAAGCGACGGCGGCGGGACACAGTAGACTACCGCAGTAGCATCAGCGTTAAAAAAACATACGAACTTGCACAGGGAATGAACCAAAAGAAGTCGGATAGAAAACAATTAGCTGCAGGTCTACTACTATGATGTTGTATGCACAGCACAGGAGCTGCTGTAGTGTAAACGTCGAGGCGCGGAATGCTAAGTACTGATATTGAGTACTCTTCCAGTAGATGGGCAAGTACCTTACATGTAGTTCCTTGAACCCAGAGATTGGATCCTGTTGCCCACTCTCTCCTCCGCGGCCCCCCTGTCGGGGGAGCCCGCTGACAAGAAACGGTGCTCGGATTTTTTCCCGCTACAAGACTGGAGTGTTTTCATTCGTCAGCCGGTGAGCGCGGCCAATGCTAAATAGAAAAAAAACGCACAGAGTTCAAACGTCAACCCGCCCATGTCGGTTGCGTAGTCCATGCAGAGAGCATTTCGAGTAATATCCTGCTGCTCAAGCCACAGCTGGATGTACAAGCAACTACTTTACACTCCAATGATGGTGGGTACCAACGATGATGTATTCCAGTCACGATTCACAACCCTTGCGGCAAAATGAAAATAGGTCGAGCGGTCATCGACTGCAGCAACAGCTGCAAAATGGATCGGAGAACCTTCCCGGGATGGATGCCCGACCAAGCGCTCTGCGAAAGGCGCTCCATGGCGGTCATCACAGCGGCATGGATAGGCTCAGACGCAGCAGCGAGGCCAACGCTAGCATCAGCGGAGCGCGCCCGCAGCAGAGGCGGGGGAGTCCGGCCGAAGAAAGCAGGAAGCTGGGCTCGATGCCAGCGACGACAGCCACGCATTCTTGGGGATTCCATGAACCGGCACAACCGCGCGGTTCCTCTCCCGTCTCGCGTCCGCCGTCGGTTAGGCAGCGACAAGGCGGGTTGAGTGCCTTTCCGCCTAAGGGCCGGAGTGGCAGCAGCAGCGGCATCGCCTCCTACGAGGCTGGGCGGTTCGAGCCGGCGGCATCGTCTGCAGCAGAATCCTCAGCGACAGGAAGCTTGGGAGCCCCTCGTGGTAGTGCTCCAGGGCAAGGCCACCGGAAAGGGGCGGCTGACAAGGGAATGGCCGGGGGTTCGGGAGCAGACAGAAGAGGAGAGGTAGCCCCCACACGCTCCTCCATGCGGGTTGGGGGTGCCGGCAGCGGTAAAGCCGCCACCGACGGTAGATATAGTAGGAGAGCAACAGCCGCCGCCGAAAGTGGCAGCAGCATCCTCAGGCGCGGGAGTACCAGTAGCAACCAGGCCGAGGATCACATGCCCTCAGATACTACACCGCGGAGACTCCCGTCCTCCTCCGCCCGTGCTGTTTCCTGCCCTTCTGGCAGCCAATACCTGGAACCGGGCTTTCAGCACGGCGACGCGGTAGTACCTCATGGGCGACACGGTTCCCGCGGGGGGCAGACGAACCGAAGAGGCGACCACGAAGACGAAAACGAAGACAACAGTCGCCGGTCGTCCGGCAGTAGAATAGGCGGCGGCGGCGGCGGCGGGGGGGGTGGACACCGGGACGGCTACCGTCACCACGACGGGGGCAGGAGCGGTGGTGCCGGGCTAGGCGCCAGGGGGAGCGTGAGGGCGTCCCCGTCGACGGCACCGTCGACCTCGGCATCCACGGAGGGCGAACGTTGCTTGCCTTCCATAGACGGCCCGGAAATCAGCAACAATCCAGCCGAGGATAAACCGGAAGGCGGACGACGAGGAGGTGGAGGGGGATCCGGTGGCCGCGGAGACCCAGGTTGTACGCCGTCATCGGCTAGACACGGGCGGGATCTAGACCTACCAGGCGGCAGCAGCCATGGTGGAGGGGCGCAAGCGGAGGGGAGGAGTAAGATAGGGGAAGGGCTCCTGCCTGGAAAGGAAACGGGGGGACGATTGAGCAACAACAGAAACGACGACGACGACGACCGCGACAACACCGGCAGCCATAGAAGCGGCAGAAACATCAACAGCGACAGAGATGAACCCGGCGACAAGGAGCATGCCTACGTCGGCGCATCGAGGTCGTCTGGGGGTAGCCGGGTGGACCCCTCCGGGCATCATGTCTCCGGGGGGCGGGTCACGCCCGGCGGCAACGGCAACAACAGCGGTGGCGACGTCGCCACATCTAGAAGACGAGCCGGTGGCAGTCTCCAGAGTGATTCAGAAGCAGCAGGACGGGCCGCGCGCAACAGCAGCAGCAACACCAGCAGCAGGAGCGGCAACAGGGAGTGCCTGGTCGGCTTGCAAAACCTCGGAAACACGTGCTTCATGAACGCGTGCCTGCAGTGCTTGCTGCACACTGACGCCCTCGTCGACCTATTTAGAGGCAGATATGGGCACAGCGAGCAGCGTCTCGGCAGCCACAGCTCCGCAAGCCCGACCCACGGAGCTCTTGCGCAGGCGTTCGGGGAGTTGGTAGCCATTGTGGAGGCGTCACCTGCCCACTCCAACGTATCTCCCGCGCAGGTCGGAATCTTTTCGCGTGAAGTGCTACAGTGACGAAGGGTTTGTATACAATCGCTTCAACCCAGGGCAACCCGTGTGTCTCTGCCTGTGCTCCAAACCAATGTTTTGCCCTTGGGGATTCCTCCGAACTCCGAGAAATTACTGTCTGCCATTTAGCAGCCTTTCCTCTGTCGTCCATCGCGCTCTGTGTGCCGCGTTAGAGAATTCCTCCGGCTATTGGGCTCAAAGAGGGTGCTGAGGAGTGCATCCTGCTGCGCACTTTACGCTTACACATGACCATACGATACGCTTTATTCAATGCTTCACCCTAACGCAGATATTCAGTTGAACCCGTCGGAGCGTAGGTTCTGTGTTCACAACCTACAACACAACAACTGAAAACCCTCTTTCTAACCAGCACGATTTGCGTACACCATGCCATGAATGAGAACAGTACTCCCTCTCTTCCCTCTCCGTTTCTTCAACGATCACGTGCAGGTGAAACGACTGATCGGTAAGTATGCACCGCATCTCGCCGGGTACGGGCAACAAGATTGTCAGGTGTGTTGCGTCCCCTTTTTTGGCTCCTCTAGTTGCCCCCGAGGTGGGACAAAATCAACAGGAACTGTGTTAAAGGTCGATGCGTGGGACCCTCGAGGATCGTAGTCATGTGGTACCATCTTTAAAGGGTAGCGGTTTCAAAAGCGTGGCGGCGGAAATTGCGGTACGTACCAACATATTTTGATCATATTGGAAGCACATACCCAACGGACCTAAGACATACACTAACACAAACATGACGATACACCGGTTTGCGCGGTTCGCACTTTTCCCCACTGCTACTGTACTATTCTTTCCCGAGCCAAACGGTAACCCGTTGCGGCGCCGTGTATTTGCTCGCTGAACCAACGCGAACACAGGAGTTCTTGCGTTTTTTCTTGGACGGGATGGCAGAGGACCTCAACACGCGAGGCGGTGGTGGTGGTGGTGGGCAAAACCACCATGGCCACCAACGAGGAGCGAAGACATCACCTCAACAGCAACCACACATCGAGGGCGGGGCAGGAGCAAGCGGGCGCCATCGCCAGCAACAGCAGCGCTCCGGTCCGCCGCCCCCGCCCCCGCCCGTGAACCAAGAGCTCACGGACGAACAAATCTCGAGGCTCACCGCGGAGCAACAGGCCGATAGGGCCTGGGCCCAGCACCGCGCGAGGAACGACAGCGACATCACCGGCATGTTTTGCGGCCAGCTGCAGAGCCGCATCTCCTGCCTGACCTGCGGCAACGTTAGCTTCTGTTTCGACCCTTTCTTCGATCTTTCGGTGCCGCTACCCAGCGGCAGTGGCCGAGCGGGGGCAGCAGGAGGGCGGGGCGGAGACGAGGGGGGGGGCTACGGCGGGAGGAACAGCCGGGGCTCTCACAGCTCAGGGGGCAGGGGAGGGGAGAGCAGCTCGGCCTTCGGGGGCACGAGCGCAGCCACCACCACCCTGGAAGATTGCCTCCGGGCTTTCAGCACGGAAGAGACGCTCGACGGGGACAACCGGCCGGTGTGCACCCGGTGCCGCAAGCGCCGGAGCAGCTCCAAGGGGCTGGCCGTCCACCGCTTCCCCCCCATCCTCGTCATCCACCTCAAGCGCTTCCAGTACAGCTCCACCAGCCGAACCAAGCTAGCGACGGCGGTCGATTTTCCGATCGGGTCGGAGCTTGACCTCGTCCCGTACTCCACTCCGGCCGCGCGCCCTTCTTCCTCGGGAAGCAGCGGCGGCGGCGCGAAAAACAGTAGTCACACGAGGAGCACGTCTCGAGGTAGCACGGGCGGCGGCGGCGGCGGTAACGGCGGACAACCCCCCCCGCTGTACGAGCTCTACGCGGTGTGCAACCACATGGGGGGGCTTCACGGGGGACACTACACGGCCCACTGCCGAAGCAGATCCGGCGATAGTGGTAATAGCGGAGTTACGACCGGGGAGTGGCACACGTTCGACGACACACGCGTGAGTCCGGTCAGCACGTCGCGAGTGGGAGGGGCGGCGGCCTATGTCCTGTTTTATCGCCTTTTGGAGAGCGCACACGCGAGATGATGTTTGGGGGCGCGTACTCCTGGTGAAATCCGTTGATTGAGATTGTGCTCACAGTTAGACTTGTTGTAAGCAAACAAGAAGTTCTCGCCTTGCGTTGTTGTATGGTTCTTGCTGATATCTCTTGTCGGTTCTCATAGAAAAATCGTGGAGTCAGGTACTAGAACGTTTTATCTAGTCTTTTGATCTACGGGAAGTGTACGGTAGAAAGAGGAAAATACTAGCAAAGCGAATGTGTTCAACCCTTGTGTTTGCATGCATAGACAACCGCGGGCCGTCGCTCGCATGTTACCACTTTTGGCCCAACTTACTTTCTTTTGGGGCGTTTGGGTGTTGTGTTGTAGCTCGGAGCGTTTTGCTGCGGAAGATACGTGCGTTTTCCCGTTGGTCTGGGAGCAAAGGGTGTTTTTATTATTGTTGTGCCGTTAGGGTTCGCCATGTGTGTGTCATGTTGGCTCCGCATAGTAAGGATGTTAGGGAGAACCAAATTTGTAACATCTCAATGGCAACGGGCGAGCACGTCGCCATGTCGAGTGTCGGCCGGACCGGTTTCATTTTTTTCTGGGTGCAACTATTAGTTTGTTTACGAGACAAACCTAACTTAGCGTCCGAGAGTTCTCCCCTGCAGCGAGTGGTGTGGGTGGCATGACTCCTTTCCTGCAGCTCTGGTTTTAGCCAACGAACCCAGCATCAATGCAACGACCTGCACCGCGACGTCATGAGCGTCGACTCGAGCCGCACGTTTCGAACGGGGTGTTAGGAAACTTCATAACGTCTGGTCGGCTGCTCTTGAATCCGACAAGCTTGACAGCGCTCGGTGCCCAAGGCCCGTACAAGTACACCTACAAGCCTTCAAAGTATGTTTCCCAAATGATGCAGCCGAGATAAATTTTCTTTGCCCGGGCATCTCGTTTGAGTCGCCCAGTGCAACCAATATCGCCAGTAACGGGGAGAGTAATCCACAGCGCAGACTGGTCGCTAACACCACAAGGAAAATGCCCGCGCCCTATTCCTAACTGAAGGCGCCCACTTCGTGAACACGCGTACGGGAGATGGTTGAATTGATCCCGTTCACACGGCCGAACTGTCGACTCTTCTCGCCTGAAGGGCTCGCTTCCTGTGGCTTCGCTGAAGAGCATGCAGTGCGCAGAACTCACCCTCCAGGCAGCAGGCAAGAACCCACGCAACAACAAAGCCGTCCTTACGTCGGGCTCCTCTGTCCACGGTCGTCCCAACCGACCGCCTATGCCCACCCCTGGGCATTTTCCAATACAAGGGCACGCCTGGGTTGTGTTGTGCGTGCACCATCACCCATGCACGCATCATGCCATGAATGTACCAAGGACCCCAACCCTAACCCTTGACTGCTGTGTGTAGTGGCATAGTGGCAATCAGAGCGTTCGCGGAGGCTGTACTTGCTGCCGTAGACCGCGCGCGGGAGCGACTCGGATCACCGAAAAACGTTTTTAACTGAAACCGGAGAATTCTTGACCGACCCACAAGCATCCCTTACGGGCGGGTCGAGTTTGGTTGACAAGCAAGTTACAACTTGTGGATGTCTGGTGGGAACAACACTTTACGAGCCCCCTGCATCCAAAATTCCGATTTGCGGAATGTCGTCGGCGGCGAGGGGGGGGGGGGGGGCTACAAGATGCAGGGTTTACGACAGGCATGACTGCTTCCAAGGGGATCTCCTACCGCCGGAACAGAGGGCCGGGCGAAGTGACCAACCGCAGTGTGCTAGAATACGCGTCCTTTGCCATCTGCGGTAGGTCAAACCCACGACGCGAAACAGAACGCCGCCAACACGCACCGGCCAGCTTGGAACCAACTGCATCCCCCGGTATTTGCGCCTGGGTGTGCTGGCACGGTCGAGGTCAGAGAAAGACCACCAGTTGGGCACGTGTGCGGCCGCATTGAGTAGTGCCTGTTGCCCATATGCAAACCGACGCGCCTCGACACGTTTCTTGCTGCGACGCTACGGTCCTCACTACGCGATACACACTTTATTTACCCTGCCCGGCAAGTCTGCCGTAGCAGTAGACAGCCCCGACTCGTTGCTGATGGTCGCATCCTTTTCGCCCCTTTCCTTCCTCGACTGGTGCACGATAACCCCGCAAAGCGTTGCGACCCCGTTCGTCACGTTTGCTAGGCCCTGTGCTGTCGCACCCGCTGTCAGGCAACCGCTCGTCCTGGCACCCGAGCTGCACCCTGAAACACTCTCCACCAGTAAATCACAAAGCGCTAAATTCACGCCCTTGATGGGGAGTCTGTCCCCCGTGGCAACATAGGTTATCTCCGGACAGCGCTTCTCTCGTCCGCTTGTCGATCTCGCCCAGCTCCTTCCTCCACCCCGGTACCCCCTGTCTCTTGATAAGAAAACGCGCTGGACTCCGATGGTGAGGACGGTCCAATCCCTAAAAAAGCGTCCACCTTTTCGTTGTACCACCGTTGGACCTGGTCTCAGCAGGGGAGAAAACAGTTGTGGGACGTGGAGGGGCGGGCGAGGCGTTTGTGAGCAACACAAAAAAGCAAAGAGCAGGCGTCGACACGCCAAACCTCTGTCGGGGGGTGGATCGAACGAAGAGAGGGCTTCATGCATTTGCATCATGGCCGGGTAAAACAAACGGGAGGGGGGCATGCACAAGACCCGGAATGGCACTCACCGGAGGTACTGCTGCCGTACCTCCAGATACCCTTCGGGCGGAAGCAAACTGGAGAGCATGTATCCTGGGTCTACTGTACGTAAAATGATCTACATGCAGACACGGAGGATGTCTGCACCGATCTGCTGGCGAATAACATGGTCTAGTCTATCAAGATACCACACACACTAATTGTTGGTACCTAGAACACGAAAACCCGCATCAACTGCTGAGCTAGCGCGCGGGTTGTTGTGCGTGGGGTCGGAAAAATACTCTGTGTAGCAACGAAACCACCGACGCATCCATTCATGGAGTTGACAGCAAGGGTAAAAATACGGTCCAAACACCTTCCGTCAGACAAATAACATGAAATCGATCATGAACCTGCTAGGATAGGCTACGGCATCAGTGTGACGAAACTTGGTTTTTCCACGGCTGCAGCACCAACCGTGCTTAGGCAGCAGTGCTTGCTTGCTGTGTTGAGCATAAGGAGGCCAGTTGACAGAGGGTATGTACCCCAAGGTAAAGCTACTGCTGTGGACAGCAAACACCACGAGAGACACACACACAGAAAGAGAGAGCAAAGAAAAAAGAGCGTGCTGGGACACACCACACTTGCCAGGGAGAAAGGTGTACACAGCAGCAGCCACAACAGCGGCACCGCCACCAGCGGCGGCAGCATGGCACCGCCGTACCACAGGCACTTACCCCCGTGAAGCAGTGGTCGTGAGGTCCGTAGTCCACACGAAATACGGTGTGGAATACCGTCGCCGCCGACGCTACTCCAGTCAAGAGCTTCCAATTTCGAACTGTCTGCGGCTTGAGTACCATCCTGTGAACCTTGGAGACTGAGGACGCGGCCACAAGAGCTCGTACACACTATGTGCCGTTGCCGCTGCAATGTGCGGCGTGTTTGCGAGGGCAATCTCCGACGCAGATCTCCGAGAGGCAAAGAGCCCCCCCCCCCCCCACCCCATGGGTAATTCTTGTAAAAAAAGGGTACCCTTGTGCACACAAGTAATGACATGCACAGCAATAGGTGTTGGGCTTTCATTTCTGCTCTCATGGAGAAAGGAGAGGGAATGGCGCGCGCCCGCACCCCTGTGTGGTCGTTGGCAGAGAAAAATTGTAGGAGAAGACTTGTGTTGAGGCGCCGAAACAAGTAACCAAACCGCGGAGAGTTTCAAAAGCACATGTTCCCAGTTCCTCAAACATTATGTTTTGTTGTTGGCGGGGGGGGGTAAAATCCCGCGAGGCACCATGAGAGGAGGAAGCCACGCAAGTACTCTTACGGTCAACGGGCGAGAACGTCATTATCTACCAAGACAAAACATGCTACTGCCCCTTGTAGATGTTGATCCGGCGCCCATTTTCATCTTGTGGGATAAATTATCTTCCGACTACACAGCAGTGATGGTGGAAGATCATCGACTGTCGGATATCAATCAGCTGACAACAACACAAAGCTTCTGGCGGCAGCAACAAAGAATCGTCTAAAAATAATTCCGTGTGAGCTTTCACCAGCGAGGAGGTCGTTGATGTGCTCCAGCCTATAGAGAGGGGTTTTCTAATATTTTTTAACTGGATATAGTATAATTGAAAACCGCGGCGCACAAAGCTACTTGCCACCCCGGCCCTCCAGCTTTTCACACTCACTACATGGACTACAGCTCCACCAGATTCACCTACTATTCAAGACATGGACGCGGGCGCGTTTCGCCTAGTAAGAGAGCACGCACTAAGACACCCGCCCCACACAAGAATACGCCTAAGATAGCAGACATTCCAAACTAAAAGGCACGTGGGCGTGTGTCTAAACAGCGCAAGGCGCGGGCGCACCCCAGCACAAGCACGCCCGCAGCTGGTTCGCGTTTTTCGCGTCGCCTACTAAGCAGCCTCAAACCGTTTTTCGTGCCTCCTATTTACTGCACAACCTCAAAGTGTTTTTTCGTGTCTTGTAGTACTACACAACCTCAAGGCTACAAATTTGTTCAGTACGGCTCTCCCTGCGCGACACCCGTCAAGCTCCACGGGCGACACTCTGTGATTTCTGCCTTGATGAGCTTCCCCTTGAGCTGTCCGATGTCTCCATTCAAGAACACCGGCCTGTTGGTACGTGTTCGCCCCATTACCTGGCGGAAAGAGCGAGCGGCGTGAGTCGTTGGTTGGGTCAGCAGTCTTGTCCGTTCATGACCGAGGCCGCGGAAACGCGTTGTTGGTGATGACGTTTCGTTCGCGCGCTTTGCGATACCACCATAATCACTGTTGAACCACGTTCTGACATCGCCCCACTCGTCCACGCAATATACCCGCCACGGACGTTTCGACAAGCATTGATCGTGTCATGCATCGACCTGTGGAATGCTGGGGCTGAATGTCCATTGATAGGGTCGTGTTCCTACCGACTTGTTCCCACAAAACCGGGGAGGTGCAGCTTGGAACTTGGCCAGAGGTGGGGGGGGGGGGGGGGTCAGGGCTCGGCTGTAAGCGTGCCGCGATGTAGACGACCTATCCAGTAACACGCCCTAGAAGAGTAGTGTGACGCTCTTAGGACCATACCAACGTTGGGTTGAACGTAAATTGGAGCAAGACGTTCAAGTACGACACTGCAACAAACAACTCACCGTGGAAAGTGCAAAACAAACGACCGATCTACGTTTTGTCAAGCCTTGCCGCCCACTTTAGGAATCCTGCATCTTGCCCAGCTTTGCTCTCTCTAGGAATAGGAACGGTGCGTCCTTAAGGAGACGGTAACCGACGCCCTACAGGATCCAAAAAGCAGACACGAGAACATCTCCGCGCATCCTCAGCCTGAAGACGTTCTAGCAACAACATATTTTTCTCTCGTAGCAAATGCCCGTAGAATCACAAAGCAGTGTAACTGCTGCTGCCACTACAAATTAGAAGTAAGACGGAGGCTGTTCCCGTAGGGTGTCATGCACCCGCGTGGCTGCTGCCATAAACTACTAGGAAGTAACACGGACGCTGTTGGCAGCGTGGAGGGTTTCATATATACCTGAGCAGCGTTCTTGGGGTTTCTTTCCTCCACGAGAACCTCCTCTACCCTGCCCATGTAGCGATCGCTCCTCTCCTGCGCGTGCGTGCAGCCCAGACGCATCACCCTCTGCAGCCGGTCTGCCTTCACATCCTCCGGCACCTGCCAAATTACAAATAGATAAAAATCAGTGGCACATACTCTGGACAGATTGTACCGAGGTCTACGGAAAAGTACGTGAAAATGAAGTGTTTTCTAGTTTTTCTTCATCCTTTGGGGATCGAAAGATGGGAGGAATGGGAAAGAAAGCCAGGGGGGAGGCACGAAAATTCTCTTGGGATGAACGGGAGGGCGCACATCCAAGCGCCATGCGTGTCGAATGTAGCTATGGAAAAGTCTGAGCAAGGTCTCATACCAACCTCTCTCTAGAGGTGGTCCGGTCCGCGTCATCGTCCCACGAGAAAAGCTAACACAGAGGAATCGGGAGGAGGAACGGAACTGGGATCTTTCTTTTCGTTCCTCAAGCTTGTCCTCACAACAGGTGGAAAACAAAAACGAAGGCCACGGCAACACTCTCTCCACAGCCGGCGAGTCACTCTTGTCTTTCCGCACGCGTGAGCCTGAACAAAAAATATATATACTTATTATACAATGTATTATATATATACTCCTTTCACCGAGGCAAACCCTCCCAAGCGAACGGACCTGATTCTCCCACAGGGCAGCCTCCGTGTTGGGTCGCGGCGAGTAGCTGTAGATGGACGCGGGGTCACCAACATGTTAATTTCCCGGAGAGAAAGGAATGGGGTGAGTCAGCACAGCAGTGACATACCGCAACAGCGAAGAGGACAAGGAAAATGATCAAAGGACAATGTGACATACAAACAGACGGGGGAGGAGAGGGGGGGGGGCGAGGACCACAGAGACGATCAAAACAGAGATAAATTGAGAGAGGGAGACACGAGACAGCAGTCTAACGGAGTGAGTGACAAAGGTCGCACGCACCATGCCTTAGAACTGAATACCGGTACTCCAATCACCCACCTCTCCGCCAACACGCGTGAAGAACGTCCTGCGGATTTATCTAAAAAAATCTTCTGCCACCAGCAAACCCCATGTGAAACCTTACAACCTTACAACCTAACAAAGTCCGCCGTGCACTTCGGCCAAAAAATCGCAGCAGTACCTGAAGGTGTTGAGGTTGTCGAACTTCACCCGCTCCATGAGGTCGAGCGTGTGCTGGAACTGCTCCTCCGTCTCACCGGGGAAGCCGACGATCACATCCCCGGTGATCGCCGCGTCGGGAGACAGCTGCCAACCCGGAAGAGAGGGGGGAAACGACGGACACGATGGAGATCATCAACACGTGAACTTCTATCGGCCGTGCACGATTTTTTGCGGAGTCGGGATGTAGGCGGGGGGGTGAAACATAGAATTCAGCAGTAAAATGGCCGCGTTCAGCACCGGGGCTGAGTTTCTTCGAGAGAGAGAGAGAGAGAGAGGGACGGTGAGAGTTGACGCTGTCGGCGGGGGCAACAAACACAACACACGAAGCTACAGTACCACAGCAAGAGCGTCAACGGCATCAGCTACGTCAGGCTCAGACCCGACGGCGAGACAGCAGCAGCAGTGTAACTCCCGCCTTCTTTGTGCAAGCACAGGTACAGTGGAAAATAGTAACATGCCATAACATGGCAACGACGAAAGCAGCGGGCTTTACCCTCACACACGCAACGCTGTTTTTGTTACGGTATCTGTCTTAATCCGGAGGGTAGCGCAGACTCCCCCACGACGCTTGGTCACAGGATCCCAGATCGTGGCCAATAGAAGCATTTTGGGTTTTCCACCGCACTGAGACTGACGTCTTTTCATTGGTCAGACGGTTAGCGCGGTCGATGCTAATGAAAGAAAGACACACACACACACACACACACACACACACACACCTCCCTGATGCGGTCGATGATGCGCATGTACCGCGTAATGGTGTAGCCCCTTCGCATGTTCTTCAACACCTGTCCGGTTGAGTTCGCGATAAAACGTCATACAGCACAGATAATCCGGGGGGGCGGGGGCGGGGCGGGGGGGGGGGGGGTAA